AAATCTTGCCTTGAAAAGAATTTTACTTATTTCAAAAGATAAAATATTGCATAAGAGGGTCTCCCCCCCCCCCAGTGCTCTTGCACAGTTTCCAGTTTTTCTATTGGAAAAGGGGGGGGCTTGAGGGGGAAAATGCCATTTTCCAAATTTTTCAGGGTTTTTTCCCCCAGGCCTTCAAATCTCTCTGTGTAACAACTGAATATATTTCACTGTGTGCCTTGATTACTTCTAGAAGCATCAGGGTTCAACTTCATCTTCATGTGTATATTGATGAAACTTGCTGTGTGCCTTGTGAACAGCAAGGACTATATAATTAGCGAGACCCTCACTCTGAATTTAAATGAGTAAATTCAGTATATATAACTTTACCTGAAGATTAATTTACACAAGCATACAAGATATTTTGCTTTAAAATGTTGGAACTAACACAGATTTCTTGACTTTCTTCAGGAAGGAAATTCCCATTTGAGGTCTATAGTCTTCCTAAATGTTCAGAATACATTGGCTAGTATGCAGTCTGTTAGCATGTATATTTTCCATTAAGGTGCCAATTACCAATAAAGGATAGTAAATTCAGCACCCCTCACTTGCCATGTGTAGCAGATGAACAAATGTTGCATAACAGAGAAGAATGGAGACTGCTAATCAAAGATATATGGAGTAGGCTATATGTCTTCCATTAATAATGATGGTTTGGAAAGATATAGTCTTCAGAATAGGGAGACAGGATTCTGTCATACTTCTGTGGAGGTCTCTTGGTGTACACAGTGCCCACAAAGGACTGGATCAAGTCTGTTCTGTGGAGAGAAAAAATTGTACATATTAAATGCCCTTGTGTGGTAGTTCACACAATAGCTTGGTACTAGCAGTTGTTGCTCCATAGACTCCACATAGAATAAGCCAACAAATACAATTTAATCATTATGTGTATCTGTGGGGATGAATATATAAGCTGAATGCTTGCATCTTTGTATTTGTATCTCATAATTTATTATAACATCATAGCTAGCCTTGGGGGCATCAATGAAGGAAGGTTGTTGCCTATTCATACCCTGTTTGTGGGCTTTCTTGGGGCATTTTGTTGAACACTGTAGGAAACAGTATGCTAAAGCAGGCAGACCTTCTGTCTGATCCAACAGGATTCTTGATCTCTGATTATGTTTTCTTATAAAAATACTCTGCTTTTTCATATTAAATTGAGGCTGTTGTTTTAAATATTTCTGATTAATGAGGGGCTGCTGATGAATTTTTATGAACAATCGCTTCTCGGCCTTTTGGCTAAGATCAAGTGTAGTGTGTAGAATTTTTATGAACATTGAACAGCAAATAACATTACATTAAGGTTCCATTAGACTTGGTACTTGATGTCATATGGTGCAATTTTTTGGCGAACCAGAAGAGATCTCTGGTCTATGAAAGTTACATTGTGGTAGCAGTGGTAATAGCCGTAAGTACAGAAGAAAGGGTGACAGTGGCCTCTCATTTGGCAGTCCTGACAATCCTAAAAGGCTTTTTTTTGGTAAGCTTTCTGTGATGTGCAGTCTATGCCCCCTCTCCCCTGACATAAGCACCATGGGATCCAATCCCTTGCCCCCAGGTCATGTGTAGTACTGGAGCACATCAAATAGCAGTATCTGGCTTTTTGAGTTGCAGCCACATAGCATCCATTAAAGTAAGCATCTGCTTTCTTTTTAAAAAAAAACCCTGACTAGTTTATGTGGTAATTCATAAATTATTGAAAGTTGGCCTTTTGATAGAGGGGAATTAGGGCAAAAAAATTATAAATTTATAAATAGAAGTACAAGTTGCATTCATGTTGTCTGGATGTCTTCTTTCTCACACAAACCTTTTTTTCCATTTGTTTGTCCTATTTGTTAATGATATCATTTAATTACCATGACAAGACTAGAAACCCAGTATCCTTATCTTAAGTGTAGCTTTACATCCTTGTATAAGACACTTGGTATTGTGTGACCTATACTGTTTCTTCCCTACAGAACCATTTCTGATCCTTAATGTATGATTTTGTGCCTTCCTTTCTCCAGCCTTTAGTTATTTATGATGGTTCTATTCCGCTCTACCTACAGACTTCATTCTTAAATGTCTTCCTTTTTAAAAAAGGTCTTCCTTGAATGTCTCTTGCTTCCTCCCTTCTCAATTGTTAGATCAGTCTTTGACCTGTCCCACTTTTTCTGCAGATATTTGCTTGTTAGGTCATCCTCTATTTTTTGTTAGGTCATTGATGAGCATCATAAACAATATGGACTTGGATTCAAGCCTTCAGGCAGTCTTTCTAGAATCTTGAGAATCTTTATATTAATGCTGAATTTGCTCCTCAGTCTGCCTCCACGCCTGTATAACAGAAAGTGGGAGAATACTTTGAACATCTTTAAAGAACCATGTAGTTGTAGCTAGCTAAGTGCCAACATCACAGATTGCAATAGCAACAACATTTGTGCTGGTGAATTGTGTGAATCCCTGTGCTGGGTTCTACATCAGGATACAGTCAACTGGCATATTATAGATTGCGTTAATAAGCTGAGCATCAATCTGAATTTAGTGCACTCTGTTGAGCTGTAGATTTGTACTTCTGCTGATACACCTGCTCTCCTAAGCTGATGAAGGTAGTTTGTAACTCTCCCAGGCATATAAAGAGCTGTGCTTGTGGTGTCACTTAAGTTAAGACCATTGCATCTTTCTCCCAGTCTAAAAAATGGTGGTGGAAAGATTCGAATCAGTTTTTTCAAGGGTGAGCATTTCCCTGCTCTACCATGTAAACAACCTTTTAAAAGCAAAAAGACATAATCAAAGGTGTAATGCATGAATGTCTTCGCTGCCATCAAGGACCTTTTAAAGTATTTTTGTGCTTCCTTCCTTCCGTTGTGCAGGATATGTTCTTAATGGAATGAATATGTTTCTCCCCAGAGCAAGGCAAACCTCTGAAGGAAGGCATATTTTCACAGTTGTCATGGTACCACGGCATGATCAGGCCTAGGAAATGGTTATCACTATGAGAGGCATTGCTCCCTTTGTTTTGTATAAAAGACCACCTGTACAAACTCAAATAATAGCTTTTGGAGTGGGAGGTGTCATTTTCAAATAGTGTTGGGGGGGGGAGGTGAATAGTAAGCAGAAACAAATTAGAGTGAAACCATATTTCAGACAATTCAGGCATTCAGATAGAAGGTAAATTCTTTTTTTCTTTTGTTTAGCAGAAAATAGAATCGTCAACCATTAAGCAGTAAGCTTGGCAAAGTGTTACAGTGCCTTAGAATTAAAAGCTAAAAACTAAAAGAACTAAAAGAACTTACAGAAACGTATTTGAACTAAGACCATTTTATAGGAGAACAGTCAAGAACAACTGAAACAATGGACTCAGAACAAAATAATAGACTAGTGCATCTGTAATTACTTTTTAAGTGCTTCCATTTAAAAAAGGGAGAATGACATCTACAATACCATTATCCGGTTTTTAGAGATCCATAAATCTTCATCACTGGTAAAGGTAAAAGTTTCCCTTGCTCAAAAGCCAGTCGAATCCGACTCTAGGAATGCAGTGCTCATCTCCGTTTCCAAGCCGAAGAGCCAGTGCTGTCCGAAGACATTTCCGTGGTCATGTGGCTGGCATAACTAGACGCCGAGGCACATGGAATGCTGTTACCTTCCCACCGAAGTGGTACCTATTTATCTACTTGCAGTTTCTTGCTTTTGAACTTCTAGGTTGGCAGGAACTGGGACCAGAGATGGGAGCTCAGTCCGTCATGCGGCACACTCGGGTCTCGAACTGCTGAACTACTGACCTTCCACAGCCTGCGCGTCAGCG